TGTGTAGGTCAACAGTCGTGGGATACTGGAGAAGCAGGACATAGCTGCCAACAAAAATCTTTGTGAAGTGAGATTTTGGATGTGCCCAGCATTAGCCTTACTGCTACGAGTGCTTATGGAAGGGGTTAAATTTTGTAAAGCTGTGGACTGAATCATCTATACAAGCATTTATGTCGTGGGCAGCAAGAGTACAATTTCCTTGTTCTGTCCTTCCAGTGTGCCCCCTCTTTGCTTGGAGAATAATTTGGACTTCACGTCCACCAAATCTTTCTCATCGCCACAAGACTGACAACAACAGGGCCCCTTGTGATTTGCAAGGGTTTAAATCTGGCTAGTAATGGCAGGAAGCCTGTGACTTCCCTTCCTTTCCTTCCCTCCCTCCTCAACATTTGAAACCATCTTTTCATGAGAATTCTGCCGAGGACCAGGTCTGTGTTGCTGCATGTTGCATTTTTCAAATAAATGGTAAGAGTGGAGCTGACATGATATTTCTCTGTCTGGCTTTGTGCAGGATTTCATGCACTTGTCTCTGGCAAAACGGAAAGGACTAAATCAATTGGAGAAGAAAATGGGGCAGGTGGAGAAGAGGTCTTATCTAATGCTGTAATCAGGATTAGGGGGCAAAAAATGTGATCCCAGTGCATCTGGGAAGATGATGTTCCTGCATTGCTTTCTGATAACCTTTTTCCTCTGTCCTGGCTGTAGTTGTGGTTGACAGGGTCTAGGAGATGGGGTCACTGTTTTATATGCCTTTAAAAAAAAAAAAAAAAGGAAAAGTAAGCAGGGGTCATGGAGAATTTGGTAGAGTTTGGGGGAGAAGTATTGGGAAAAGTGGAAATATCTGAGCAGAAATGAGACACTGTTAAGTAAGATATTTATAGGAAATCCACTCTGAAGGATGACAAGGGAAAGATGGCTTTGTGGTTAGTAGATTGGGGTTGTATTTCTAGCTCAGCTAGTCTTGCTGTGTGACCTTGGATAGATCAATTAACCCTTCAGTGCCTCAGTTTCCCCACAAGTAATGCCCTGTTAGGATTATGCTTAACTCTTGCACAAGCTGATATTTTCAAGGTACTGAATAGAAAGGCTTGATAGAGAGGCAAATTATTGCTTATTAAAGCTGATGTAAGAAGCTGTATTGAATAGCTCAATTTTCACTGCTATGACACAGATCATGTATGAATTTCCTATTGCCATTTATTCAAAAGAAATTAAGACATAAACCAATCAATCCTTTAAAATTTTGGAATTCCCTGTCTTTGTCCTCTTGCCCACACCCAATTTAAAATATGTTTGATGGGGCATGGAGATAGACAATTCAAATGTGTATATCAGTGACTGTCTACTCTGGACAACAACATATTAGATTGTGGTACCCAGTCATTTCATAAAGGCCTGAGAATAGCAATGAGTTAGTAAAAATGTATGGTCAGTATCAATCTGGACTGGCTTTAAAAAAAAAAAAAGTGACTTAGAAATAAATGGCTCCATTTCTCAGTGCATATTGAAATAATTGGCTCCATCTCTCAGTACATATTGCCCTCTACCAGATAGCTTCCTATCTTGCACAGTCGTTAAATAACTTGCTACGCCTGTCTTTAGAAATCAATTATTTTTTTCCTTAAAATCACCAAAATAAACAAGAATAAGTTTTAGAAAGCAGAACCAAAGTTCCAATAATTCCTATATATTCTCTGTCCAGAAACATAAGTGTTATGACAAAGGGAAAGAACATAATATTTATACCTGAGTCTTTTAAAACCTATTAGTTACAGACGGCATGTGATGCCCATGAATGTTGTTTCTCCGTCTTCACAGTTCGTTTAGGACTGTGTACAAATATAATCTTTTTCAGAATGGTCACGTCAGTTCATTGCCAGTAAACATAAAAGTGACTTTATCTGGTTCTACACTGTTGACAGAAACATGTTTTTTCTGGTGACCAAATAAAACTCACAAGGTGTTAATTTTTGGAGTCAATTTAGGTGGCCAAAGACTTCCTGCTAACTGAAGGCAAAGAACATATTTTTCTAGTTACTGTTGTCTGAAACAGAGAGAAATGTTATTGTGCACAGAGATAAAATGTTTGATTGTGAGGTTTTTCTTAAAGATCTCCTAAAAATCCTGTTCAAACTTAGTTAACTAGTCATGGATTCTGATGGGGTTTATATTGTGGAATGTGAAATAGGGGGTGGATGAATACAGGCAGAGGGAATTTCTTGCTATTTATTATAAACCTTGTCCTAAGAATTGACACGGTTGTCTTTTGACAAGGCTTGTTACACAATCATAAGCGGACAGCGTATCAGTTGGGTAAATATTATGATAAAAAAACTTGGTACTGCATGCATCTTGCAATGGTTGCAACTGCTGTTTATGAAAGTTAAATGTTATCTTCCATTTCTTTAAGTTTGAAAGACAACTATATCTGATTTAAATTAAAAAAAACCAAAACGGTTCTTTGGAGCTTGCATGCTGTGGTATAGCTATGCATGAGCTGAACTTTTAATAAAACATTGTAATTTCTGGAAGAGAAAAAAATTACCTCTCCTCGGAAGATGAAGTCCTAGATTCAAAGAAATGACAGCATTAAAATTACTTTTCCTTTCTGTTATAAAGTGAGCATAAAACTCTGTCCTATTTTTCCCCCCATGTTCCTTGAAGGTATAGGTAGAGGATATCTTTGCCAATATACCAGTGGCAGTGTGAGCTGGGCAGTTGTTTGTGCAGCTTTGACTTCCAGGT